GTCCGACTCGGGTCGGGTCACAAAAACTTCATCGTTGTCGATCTTTACATGTGTTAAAAAGCAATTCTAGACGAAATAATGACTTCGTTCTTCTTAATATTGAGAAAACTTCTTTAAATTTCCCCAAAAAACGGTTAATCTCTGAAAAAACTCGCTTGAATCTACCAAAGAATATCATGAGCCTCGGATCAGGTTGGATTCAATTATAATTAAGTTGAGTCGGATCGAATCCAATTCTACACGAGCCGGATCACAAAAAATTGACCCATGCCGGACACTGCTAAGCAATACATAGTATTGGATTTAAGGAAAAAACAGCTGATTAAGTTTACTTCGCCAACTCCATTGACTCCGTAGATTTCATTATTTCAATGGAGCCCACAGCGTCAGCGGAGTCAATTGAGGTTATTAGAATCATGGGATCAGCTGTTTCCTTCTAATTTGAATTAGCCTGTTATTTCCTAATTAGCTCGAAACTTTAGCTCATTACAATTCTCTCTCACTATCTTTTCGTGCCATTCTTGATTTGGTTCCATACACATCCATTTGTCTCTTTATCAGATATGACTATCAGTCAAGGGAAAGAGTCACTCGATTGTGAGTTTATAAAAGAAATCAAGTCTGAACGAGAATTGAGACAAAGAACTCTATTTCATTCATCAGTACACACAAATATGAATGAAGTGTATCATTACCTAATACGCAGAAATTTGTCAATAACAACGGCAAACACACTTCTTGTGGTGAACAACATGAGTTAACAACACATACAGAAGTACGTGATGTACAGGTGAATGTAATATTGTTACATGGCTCCAAAAGCGAACATAAAATACCAGGTGCACAGAGGCTAGTATTATTGAATGTACGGTAGTCGAAGCAAGGTATTGATGACGAACGACAGCTGTTATTATTACTCAAGCTTACATGGCATTCTGGTAAGGAACAGTTTGATATCGGTAGTTGTGCAGAATGAGACGACGAAGACAATGTGAATTGCACGATATTATAATTCTCATCACAAGAATCAATGGATGCCTCAATAGTTTGACCTAGTAACTGTTCATACTGTAAAAGAGTTAATCGAGAAGAAAATAAATCAGCAAACCTTTTATACATAAGAAAAAGATGCTCAAAAGCAAGGGAATCGCAAGTTCCATACTTTCTATGCAACCAATGAGTGAATGAAGTATCGAGAACGAGTGATTTCTTTTGTTTCTACCTCGCCTACAGCACCCATTGAGATTTTCTTTCAATTTGCAGGACACAAAACTTTTCTCTTGATGATTATTTATAACCTTGGCAAAGAAAAAACAATGAGACCTTGGAGTAGGATAAACGAAACCTTTCTATGAGATTGCATAACGATCACAAAAAAAACATGTAGATGTTTATTTTGTACATCATTCTTGTGAAAAAAATTTCTGTGCCGCTGTAACTTTGTTACCATCAACATTTTGTTATAGATCTTTTTATATTGTGATCGAATATACTATATATCTTTGCTGTCTTCACTAAACTGAAATCATATCATTTCTTCAATATAAATAAGCTATGTCATTAATTTAATGAAATTCTCTTGCTAACAATGCCAAAAACGAATATTGTATGAAGCAAAATCTTTTACTTCATGATGTTAGTTTCAGGATTGGGTGTGGGTGTGGGTGTGGGTGTGTCCATTGCCTTGAACATCCCCACTCACACTCACACCCTATCTGTTCTCAATAACAAAGATTACATTAACCTCAAATTATTAATATCCTGTCAAAGGAATTAGGCTAATACGCACACATCCGATACTACGTCTTGAACAAATTAATTTCGAAGAAAAATTTCACTGTTGAACCGTAAACTATGGCTCGAGAAGGGCGGCGGCACAACAGGCGTCCCAACCACAAAATTTTTTCTTGAGCTCTAATTTTCTCCATCGTATTGTGCGCAAAGACTTGAATAGCATCTTATATGAAAATGCATTAAGAGCGTTGCAAAAGGCATATTTACTCGCTATTAAACCCTTTACTCAAAAAGTTTTTATCGAAAATCCACAAAATTTTTTTCTGCTGTTCTTTATTTAGTATACACAATGAGTGTAGGGGTGAGGAAGATATTTAGTCTCATTCTACATTTATTGCTCTGCCTAAAAAATTGAGCTTGTGCCGCCCATGCATCAAGGACTGATGATAGATGAAAATCGATTATAATGAACTTTCAAGCGCATAATCGATTTTTTCGTGATTTAAAATCCATTAAAATGCACGACTTTAATCAGATTTATAATTATAAAGAAACCGATTAAAATCAAATTTTACAAAGTGCTGGATTTTAACCGATTTTTCTACAATTATAAATTGGTTAAAATTGTGCCATTTTAATCAATTTTAAATCGCAAAAAGTATCGATTAAAATCTGGTTTTTATTTTTTTTTACAATGGTAGTCTCTCAGTATTACACTTATGGACACCTTAATCCTGTGCAAATTCATGAATTTCTGGAATGTCTATTACTGTTTTCATCAAACGAACATCAGATCATACCGTCGTTCGAATAGAATACAGTACTCACAGGGTCTCTTATTATTTTTTCAGATGATGAAATAGAATTTCATGGTCATCTCGTGAAACATGATGAAACAATTGTTTTTCTTTGTTTTGTCGCAAAAAATATCTCTTTCTGCGTAGTGTGCCCTTCATCCATCATGATGACGAAAGAAAAAAAAAAGTCATCCACACATTTTGCACGACAATAATACGTCTCCTATTCACTTTTCTTTCTTCTCGCATTAATTATTATTTCGAAGTAACAAACATATGAAATTTTGATCAATAAAGCAAACTATAATTTTCACTTGCTGGGTGAATTTATTGCGTGAATTAAGAAAAGCAGAGGTGGTAAAGAAAGTTATATGACAGTACTTAAAACAAAGTTCTCAATAAAGATGAAATATCTTTTGTTGTTCTTTATACACATTTTCGTTTGGTTGCTTAACACAACCAAATGTTTTCATTTACCTTGTAAAAAGCAAGAAAATAATGACTGTCGCTTCTGTTAAGAGAAGAGGAAGAAAAAAAATGCGTCTTTCCTCTTAGTATAGCACGATTTTAATAGTAAATGATCACTTATGTAAAAAGTTATTTCAATTATTGTGAGATGCATAATTGAATAGGAATAAGTGAGAAATATTGGAGGCAAAATCCATATAGGATAAAGAATTTAAGGGCAAAACCTATACAGTAATGTATTGGAACAAAATCCTTAAGAAGAGAATTGAGGACAAAACACTTGCAATTATTCAATACTTAATTGAAAATGACTTCAATCATTGAATTCAAGCTTCGATTAATAAACTATTGACAAAAGACAAACTATTTCAATAAAGATTTGTCAGACTTTCCAAGAAAAATCTATCTTAAACATTTCAAAATGAAATTTAAAGAAAAAAAGAGATTTTCTATTGATGATTATATCAATTTCTAAATTTTTATTCCCCCAACTCCTCTCATTATCGAAAAAACACATTGAATAAATCTCTCTGCGTCAAAAAAACTAACATTATCGCGTGTCTTTCTACGTCAAACATCGATCAGAAAAAAACAACATTGACAAAGAGAATAAGAGTACTGAAGAAAAGAACGAAGTTGGATTTCTCATCACTAACACTGATCAAACCATTTATTGTCGAATTTTTCTTCCGAACGAAGATTTCTTTTCAACAGATTGAAGCAAAATATTTTTCTTACATCTTTTTCCAGAAAAAAAATGCTTGATACATTCTCTCGTTTGATTAGAATGGAGAAAAGTGTATATGACATATTCTTCCAATATCATAACATTGATAAATCGATATATTAATTGTTAATATCTGTCGTGTCAAAGTTTCATCGCTTGAGTTCACTCCATTCATCCCTATGTAATGATATTGGTAATATTCAGTCTCATTTACAAGTCTTCTGACGCAAAGCAGCTCGTATCTATCGAATTTAGCTGCAGATATATTATCAAATCATGTCATATGTAGATCGACGATCTAGTTATGAATGTTTCAATGAAAAGAAATGTACTGCATTGAGTATTTATTGTGAAGTTCTTTCAATCGTATTCAAAAGTGAGCACCTTAATTTATCTTGCACTTTTTATCATGCACAATCTTCGCATCTTAAATATTTGTTGTCGAAATGATATTCATTACATGTAGAATCTCAGACACTGGAAGTGATTTAATTCAGTAATAAATATGGTACACCAGTTATGCTCATGTATCTCTGTAGTCGGAATCCAATCAGTTTCATTGACCCTTGTAACTTAAGTTTATTCAAGAAACAAAAACTATTGAAATCAAATAAGAGAGCTGATTAGAAATTCATGACGACTTGCGAGAGTAGATGTAAAGATTAACAATAGCGAAATTATATGCAAAGAAAACAACGAGAATCAATATTATATGCCTTGATTTGATCATATAATATGTTTCTTTCTTTTACGATTTATCGATAATGTTCTTATTGGTCCATGAAGGTGGTACAAATCCTTTGAGCATATTCCAAATGATAGCTATACAAAAAAAAAGAATTAGATAATCATCAACAAATATAAGGTTATTTCTTAAAAAATTTAATCCATGCGATTTATTGGCATGAAACTATTACGGTAACAAGCTTACAGTGGAATGGTGCCCATGTTTTCCTTTACGTTTACTTTTGTTGTATAATTTTTATTTCGAACATCTTTACAAAACGGTTTTAATTAATTAAGTGCTTGAAAACGATTAATTTGTTTTTAATTGAAAAGAAAAATTGATGTAAATTGCTAATAAATTTATTGACAAGTCAAAAAAGAGCTAAACTTACATTTCCATTTCTCAGTAGAATATGTCGCATCTTGATATTCATCGATGAGAAGCTCTGAAGACGGCTCATCGATTGGATCATGGTACATTTCAAAGTAAGGATCATCTGCTCAAAAAAAGAATCATTTGATATGCTACGCTTATTGGTTTATGTGTATTAACTTAGCAATTCTTCAGCAGTCGGACGCATGCAATGATTCAACGAAAGTAAACGATCAAGTAAGATAACACCTATACATTAGTATATAAAGATTCTTTTCATAAATTAAATGACAGATTTACCTTGTGAAGAAACACCCGAAACTGGTGTTTCACTGCCTTGATTATATTTATAGCCAAATAGTTTTTCGTAATCTTGCTTTGGTTTGAGAGATAATGTTTCAAAGTATTGGCGTACACCTAAAATAGACAATTTTCAATGACTGATTACTATTTTTATCAGCAATTGATAAAACTTCGAATTAGTGATTGGACGAGTACAAGTATAGTAAGTACAAGTAAAATACTAGGTATTTAAAAATGTACTCTGTAGTTTACTTAGATACATTTTACTCAGTGCGTGTACTAAGTATAATTGTACTCAAGTACAGTAAATTAAGTACAATATAGTACTTATAACTATAATGAGGCATAGCTGTGCATTTAACACATTAATATTAATATTTGAATGTATGACATACACATAATATTAACAATTTAGTGACATCTATAGCAAAATAGTATATCTGAATGATGATTCATACGATAGTTCTACGTCATTTATAATTATTAATTTTAATTATTGATTGTATTGTACCGTAATCATACGTGACAATGCTTAATACAGAGTAATCAAGAGGCTAAGGTCGTGGAACATTTATTCGGAAATAATAGATCAGCCTTTCATACATTTTGAACCTTTTCATATCTTGACGACCAGCGCTCCACTATAACGTCAGGATAAAAATAGTCTGAAGTCTGATATTTTCGAAACTGTCCGTTATTTACCTAGCTCATCATATGACTTCCAAATAAGCCTTAAAACATTTATTGATGTATGAAAGATTTTAAGAAATAGATACTATAAAATTGCATGGGTATGAATGAGCAAAACGGAAAAACCAAGGGTCAAAAATAGTCAGCTCCGAATCCCGTAAACTTCAAATTGGAGCTAATTTTCGCGCATTACATATTTTGCCAACTAACATCAATCCATATTTTATATTATAAAGATACTCATAGATCCGCAAGGCCTACCATATAGGGTATCTAAAGGTCTCAAAGGCTCATCATATAAGGCTGGCCAGAGCTCGCCAAGACCCATAATACAAAGGTGCTCATAAGCCCTCAGGGTCCATTATATGGGAACATCCAGAGGTTTCCAAGACCCATCATTTAGAGGTGGTGACATGCCCCCAGGGCTATCATACAAGGGTTGGCTTGAGTCAAAAAAATGCACTTCAAACTTTGAAAACTCCGAATTTGGAGGTAGATTTTCCTTCAGTTCATACATTACCAATTAACATCAGGCAATGTTTTATACCATGAAGGTACCCATAGATCCTCTGTGCCTATAATATAGAGCAATCGGTAGATCCTAATGGGCTATGATACAGGAGTGCTCATAAGCCCTGAAGGATATCATATAGAGGTACACTAAGTGGACACATTCTCATTTCTTGAATTCCTTGATTTCTTTGATCTCTATTCATTTCTCTGATTTCTAGTGATTTGTAGTAGTAACCAGGATTGATGGAAACAACATTATTTTTCATCATTATTACAAGGACAAAACATGGAGTTCTTCGTACCATATAAAAGAGCGTCTTAGAGAACTCTTAGATTGACTCGAATCACACCATATTCGATACTTAGTATAGAGAAGAGAAATCTTCTTGAAATCTGATTCACTGTCGATAAAAGCTTTCGAGCAATCGGAATCTAGGAAGTCTTTCTCCACTGTAATAAGAACAAATTGTAATGTTTTTTGTAGCAATGTAGGGTTCTCTAAGGCGCTCTTTCATATAGCCCGAAGAATTCCGTATTTTTTCCACACAATAATAATGCTAATTAGTTGAATATTTAGACTAATTAAGACTAATTACTTGAGTACTAGATGGTGAATTATCACTTATTTGTCAATCTCATTTTTTCTTAGGAATCGTAATTGGTAAAAGATGGACTGGGTATTATGTGTAAACTATGGATGCGAAAGTGAGCTTCAGATTTACAGTTTACGTGTGAAGCTCACTAGTTTTGACCAAAACCACTGGCTATTCAAAAGACATTAATTTATAGTCTGAATATTAAAATACCATGAAGGTTGTGTAGATATTTCTGAGAATATCAAATACTCATTCAGAAGAATATATTGACAACTCATTAAAGTACGTTTTGTACTAAAAAAGTAGTACTTCAGTAAATTAGCAATAAGTACCGGTACTTGAGTAATCGAGATTATTGAATAAAAGTACCAAACGTACTAACGAGGGAACATTCCCAGGTGGTAAAAAGCTTTTCGACCGAGAATGTGATAATTAGATAGGGCATAGTTAAGAGTGATATACCCTAAGTTAGTTCGGGCTCAAGTTGAGATTTGACTGAGATATCGACTTTTTACTAGAATTTGCATATGGGACCCCATCTTCCCCATGAAATCAAAGTTTTGAATTTTGAGGTGAGACTTTGGCCATGTCAAGGTCTCAGCCAGGGTAGTTCATCCACAAAGTTTCAGAATTTTTGGGCTAAGCGTTTCCGAGATATGCGTCTGTTAGCATAAACACATTTTTTTATGGATATTGTTGTATGCATGGATATTTTGAAAACATTATATCTCGGGAATACTTAGCCCAAAAAATTCTGAAACTTTGTGGATGAACTACCCTGGCTGAGACCTTGATATGGGCAAAGTCTCACCTCAAAATTCAAAACTTTGATTTCATGGGGAAGATGAGGTCTCATAGGTAAATTCTAGTAAAAAGTCGATATCTCAGCCAAATCTCAACTTGGGCCCGAACTAACTTAGGGTATATCACTCCTAGCTATGCTCTACCTAATTATCACATCTCCGGTCGAAAAGCTTTTTAGCACCTCAGAATGTTCCCTCGTAAGTATTTGACTCAGTATTCAATAACGAATTCGAATCAAGATAAAAACTTTTTGATTAGTATGAAAGCAGTTTCAGAAGATTATTTTATGTCATTCGAACTTGTTTAGATTATACCTAAAGGCATATTCATCTCATCTAACGTTTTTGAATCAGGTGTTCCAGTAATATCAAAAATTTTTGTCAATTGATCAGATTGACTTGTACCAGGAAAAAGTGGCTGTCGAACAATCAACTCAGCCATAATACAACCGACAGACCATATATCAACTTTTTTATTGCAATGCTCCGGACTGATGATCATTTCTGGTGCATGCCACCATCGACACATATCGCTCTCGTTGTAGAGCCAGCTACAAAAAAAGACAATATCTTTGATGCATTTGCATAGAATGAAAGACGAGATTTATCTGACTGTTCATCATATTTCCTACGAATATGGGCTGCAGCGGCAGAATTCCAACCAAAAATCTAGAATTAAAACATTCTACACTAATAGGAATGCCGTTTTCTATGTCAATATTCAAAATAATATTTCGACATTATTACTTTTGCAGTGCCCATTTCAATAGAGAAACTAGTCAATTGTTTTGAAACAAAATTGAGAATGTAAAAAATTGTCAAAAAAAGCCTTCTAATCATTCTCGTGCACTATAAAAAGTTTTCAGCGCAATCCCTGAGGGATTAAAAATGTGAAACACGATGGAGCTTTTTATATTGCGAATGAAGAAATTTGGATTTTCTCTGTCACGGTCTGTGATGGTCTTTGGAGCCCCTCTATCACAGTCTGTGATGGGTACTGGATTTCTCTGTCACGGTCTATGCCGGGTATTGGATTTCTCTGTCATGGTCTGTGATGGGTGCTGGGTTTCTCTGTCACGGTCTGTGATGGGTATGGATTTTCTCTGTCACGGTCTATGATGGGTATTAGGTTTCTCTGTCAAGGTCTGTGATGGGTACTAGGTTTCTCTATCACAGTCTATGAGGGAAGGGCCGGGGAGTGGGTCCAAATTTCTACTCTATACACTTCAACACTCCTTTTAGATCCTGTTTCACAAAACAATAATCAGATCTATCGATGGTAAAATGATATAATTACCGGTTCTTAGTTTATGTTAAAATGAGCATAAAGTTTGGCAAAATTTTCAAGATCAGAAAATTTTGAAAAGTCGTACTCATTAGTTATAATTCTAGAAAACTCTTCATACAATCTCAGTAGAATTCCAAAAATCCGCTAGTTGAAACAATAAGAATATCGACTAGTTTCATTTTTCAATCAGACAAACTGTGGTTTCATAAGATCATTCTCTATATCTCATTAATTCTAGAAACAACTTCTTAATGAAATCATTGACAAAGAAAGACTTTAGCATAAGAATGAAGCATGGTTTCATATGCGAGGCGAGATATTTTTACTAGTCTTCAATATAGCTCTTATATTATACTTATGAAAACTCTCGCTTCTTTTCGTTTGCTATGATCGTTTCACATAACAGATCAAAGATAGACAAATAAAAATTATCTAATTGAATATATACACCACTCACTGAGACATTTGAATCTTTGTCGATACCAATATTAGATGAGATTATTCTCTGCAATATATATATATGTGCTTGTTATACATTAAACTAATATGACGACTTACACTGTGAATGATTCCAGCAGAATGAATGAACTAAAATAATATCAGCATGATATTTTATTCCTGTATCTGATACAAAGGTTTCATACTTTCAAACTACGCAGAAGACAATAGATGACCATTTTAATATGATCTTCAGTAATAACAACATTGCTGTAGATAAATCTTTTTAAATCATATTCCACATAATTCTCCACTAAATATCTTTAAAAAGCTGTTAGTGCAATCTCTTGCAGGATTAAAAATGTAAAACACGATGTAGCTACTATCCCCTGCTGTTCGAAAAGGTGTTGTTTTTTTATGCATATGGAGGTACATTCCTTCATAATAGTTTATCTTACATTATATACTTTCAACGGGATAATACTCCACATATGCTCCAATCATATGTTACCTATGGAGCATCTCTGATATTTTCTTGAAGTCTTCTGTCACAGTCTATAATGACTCCCGAGCCTTGTCTGTCACGGTCTGTGGCAGGTCCAAAACCTGTCTGTCACGATCTGTGGGGAGGGGAAGGGGGAGGGGAGTTCAAATTTCTACCCCTAAACACTTCAACACTCTTTTCAGATTGTGTTTCACAAAATAAATTAACAACAAGTGCTTCTAAGAGAATACATCGATATGGCTTACATACAAGGTTTCAAAGTTGTTGAGGTCTTTCTCAGGTGTAAATATATCATATAATTGTGCAACCTACAATAAACAATAAAAATATTAATAACAATAAAATGTGCAAATATTCAAACAATTTACCTGTGCATCGAAATGATTGAGATGAATGCGTAGTTTAAATTCTCGATAGGTTCGATGTGCTCTTGCAACACTGTCGAATGGTTTCAATACCCTTCTAATGGTTACTTTTTTACCGGTATTCTGATAAAATATTGTCATCCTAAATGTATAAAGATCAAACATACTTTATGCTTAATACGCACAGTGTCAGTAGCATATCTAAAATCAGCAACAAACAACATTCGATTATGATCAAATTTGCTTAAAAATAAACTTACGTAACAATGTCGTGACTATTATATTCGAAGGGACTGAGGTTTTGATATCGTTTAGGTACTGTAAATTGTGTGAGACTATGTTCCACAGTATGCCATTCTCTTTGATCGTCATCGTCTGTCATGCTTGTTGCTATTTAATTAGAGAAGGAATACTGAAAATATGTGTAGTTATATAGATGACAAGTATGTCATAGTTGAAGAAAAGCAAAAAAAGAACGAAATATTCAACGTAAGGGAGTTACACTATTACACAACTATTGATGAAAATAATTGACAAAATCGTGAAAATCAGTGAGCAGGTTTCTGAGAACATATCCTATAGGTGTACTCGACAAAAGATAGCAACATACTTCAGTTTATATAATCCACAACGTAGATATTCTTCACTCGAGAAGAATTGGAGAAAAAAATTAATAATAAAAAAATAAAGAATAACATATTAACGAAGCACTTTATTGACTATATTGTGTTGCAACATATGTAGTTTCTTTCTTTTTCTTCCATTCTTTTCAAAATACCAAAGACGAGCGGAAGAACGAAAAAAGAAGACAAGAAAGAAAAGCAAAAGTAAATATACCAATAAACTATACATCAGTGTGACAAATATTTCCTACATTTCAGTTTCAGTCATAAAAGAAAGCGTACGAAGATGGAACCTCGGATGACGAAAATACAGATTTGAAGCGTCATATGTAGATAGAACATTGATATGAATTTGACTTATTTTGGCAGTTTGATCGATGGGTTTTAAAAAATTTGGTTTATAGATGTTTTCATTTTTTTTTCAAACATTGCAATAAGTTATTTTATCATTTTTGTATCGTTTGTAACAATAAAGTTATGAATTGGCTGTAGCAAAAGGTGAATATGATGAGCCTCCTCAATCATATCCTGTAATAATTGGTATTTTCGTATCCATATTGTGCAAACTTTGTAGGTTAAAATAATATTTGCTTTTTCTTCTAAACAGAGAATTGAGATCATGTTAACATAGATACTTACTCAGCTTATGATAAAATATGCTTTTTTTTCAATAATTAAAAAACAAAAATGAATAATGAGTGTAAGTTTCATCTTTACATTCTATCACAGTTATCAGTTCTAAATGTCCCTACTATACTATGTATTAATCTAATATTTGTTGAATTAATATAAACAGAACAACAAAAATTAGTCCAACATTCTTCTCTTATAATTGAATTACTGAAATAATAGTGACCCTTTATTTGTTGTCATCAGACATTTAATGTTTCAAGTTCTTTAGAAAAAACAGAGTGTTTGATATTTGTTGTAAAAAGAGGATACAATCGATGAATATTTCAACTCTTACGTGATGCTCTCCTCGAATGTCTAATTTAAAACCATCGATATGAAGATTGGTGACAAGTTGAAAACCGCATTGTGAGAGTGAGCAAAAGCTATCACAACGTACTTTTTCCGCAAGGATTCTTGATTGCTTTGAAATGTGATATCAACCAAAAATTCACCAAAAAGTCTCTCATAAGACTTTACAGCAGGAACTGAACAAAGAATGCTGAATTGGGTGGGTGTGGGTGTCAGTGTGAGTCTGAGTGTGGGTATTTTATTCGTACTGACACTCACACCCACACCCACACCCACACCCACACCCACACCTCACACCCACACCAACACCCACACCCCAATGTCAGAAGAAGACTCAAATTCACAGCCTAAAGTCTTGCTTGGACTTGCACCGAAGGGTTGTTGGTGAGATATCGAATGTCTTCGCACACATTTTAGTAGAAAAGACTGAATGAAAAGTAGTTGTAAACGTTCACTTAGTCCCAGTGTTGAATGTGAACTTGTTTGACTCTCATAACTACTAGTGCAATTTCAGGGTATTAGTATTGAATCTGAATAAATCACCCTCTCATCCTCACCGTCTTGTGTCCATGCAACAGCATAAACGAAAACAATGTGACTTCTCGTTGAAAATGTTTTGATTGTGGAAACGCGAAATTATAATATGATCAACATTGTACCAAAAGTTTTATTTTATAGAAAGTTTGAATCAAAAATCAATGCATATCTATCCCGAATTGAAAAATAAAAACGACGTAAATATGAAAAATATTTAGTTTAAATGTTTGCTTCGGCACAACAGTTCATTGTAATATTCTTTAAGATTTTTAAGTTTTAAGAGCAAAAAGAACAAATTTAACATATTAATTTTTCAAATATTGAACAATCTTGAGCAAAATGACGTTTAATTATCCATCCATCTGATTTTTTAGTCCAAAAGCAGCATACTTTCTTCGATCCAAAATAATTTGACAGTGAAATGAATTTTTGTTTTAATTGACTGACTATACAATCTGATGGATATTGATATTTGACAGTAGCCAATGTCATATGAAAATTTCCTCCATTTGACTGTTTTATTCGAATTCCTCGTGCAGTTATAGCAGCTTCTAAATCATGTACAATATTTTCAAGTACTAACGATGATGATTGACTTGCTCGCGTGTTTAGATAGGCTTGATGATTGTCAACATTACATCCCATATCAGTGAAATTCAATTGAAAACTTGACCATTGATAATTTTCCATAACATCTTCAATGATTTTAATCTTGGTATCATTATAACAGTCTAAGTAAATAAGTGAACAATGTAAAGCTAAAAGTGATTGTGTTTTTATAATTGATAATGCAGAGTCTTCAACATTTGATTTAATTATTCGTTGTGCTTTAATTGCTTTGAAAAGAAAACTTAAATCCAACGTTAGTGGAATAAATGTTTGTAGAACAATTTGGGATTCAGCCAGACAATCTTGTTTTGGTTCTTGAGGACTTACGTATGGTACCTAAGAACAAGTTGAATAAGATGGAAGCATGATTATGTTCGGTACATAGATAAATGGAGATTGACCTTTGGGAATTTGATATGGTGCAATGGCAGAATAATTATTAAAGCATTTTTCTACAGAAAAAGAAAACTATAAATATAAAAATTTAATCAATATTATTAAAACATTAAGTTTCTGTTTGAATTCTAATGATCAGTAGCACAAATGGGATCATTGGTCAATTGACTTAGAACTGTTTACTAATTTTTTTGTCTAACGATTATTATTTTCTCCAAAACTCACTAGTTGTATAGTACAATGTTCTATACTTAACTGTTCTCACGAACATTTTAAAAGATCAAATAGAAATATTAATACCTGAATAATGACGTTTTTCTCTGTGATGGAATATCGATTGATGGTTTTATTGTATAGCGGTTCCATTGAGAACTAAGATACAGTACCAGACAAAAGTATCCCCCCCCCCCCCCTTCCGTTGGATCTCAGTCACAATATGAGCTGTAGATCTGAAAACTAGTGTGGACATAGTTCCCAATGAATGCTGATCAGCAGACACCATCGGCACCTCGATTGCATGGAGTATAAGAAAGTTATAATGTATGTAGTCTGTGTCCATTGTGAACTTCATAACTCAGAAATGAAAAGACTTTATGAATCGGGGTTGGTTTCATTTTGTAGTTCTGCACTTTGGCTATCTATGGTAAAAGTTTCATTGAAATTCAATGAGTTGTTATAAAACTAGAACCATTTTACTGTGAGTATCGATATATGGCAAAACTGAGGGTGTGGGTGTGAGTGTGGGTGTGGGGCGTGGATGTGGGTGTGGGGTGGTGAGTGTGGGTGTGGGGTGGGTGTAGGTGTGGGTGTGGGGTGGTGAGTATGGGTGCGTAAAACAACATCACACCCTACACCCACATTCCCATCCACACCCTCGCTTAAAACTTACACTCACCATTTTCATATGTGAGTTCCACAAAATATAATGATGTGTAAGCTTTCGAAGTCTAAAATGTTGCGCATGATCCAACTTATATATAACTATTATGAGGGAATAGCCATGTTCTAATTCAGGTTTTGAGGAGAACCCAAGGGAGAAACATCGTACTTCGTACTCCGCATTACTCTGACCGTAGTTCGAAGTCCTTCCATTAGGCATGGACCAAACCCAAACTGTTTGGGTCTGGTAGGTTTCGTCACATCAGGATTTCTTTTGGATTTGACTTTGGGTACTTTCTGCATTTATCGTTCATATGCAAGTCTTAAGATAAAAACTCTCATCTCTAGTTGCATGCTTTCTTAACTAAATTTGATAACGTTTTGCACTAAAGAATCCGAATTTGATCATGGGTTTCATTAAAACTCTTCCAAAGGCTAATCGAGAGTGGGGTTGATTCAACTGATTTTTTGACTAGGCCATGGGCACGCGTTACGGAACAGTGTCCGACTCGGGTCACAAAAATTGACCCATGTTGGACACTGTTACGGAATTTAAGCTATCACTGTAATCTGGAATAATGGTTATATCGTGTTTCACATTTTAATCCCGCAGAGATTGTACTAACAGCTTTTTTTCAAAGGTATTCACGCTTTTTCAGTAATTTTTGTATGTCATTATGAATCCATCAAAGTTTCAATTTGTACCAAGCCTATAAACAGCTAGTGCTTTGTTTACAGCCACTTGTCCGAGAGGGAATGAGAGCGAGTTTAGTTAAAAGATAAGTATAAATCTAAAATCGGTTGAATCATCTCGCTTGTTCACGACAAATGCATATACAGTAGATATGCCTCAATAAGTACGAGCGAATACCGAGCGCAGATCATGCAAAGTATGCTTTTCTATGGACAATGATTAATATATCGAAACGAATCAATGATAAAATTTATTTTGAGATGAAGTAGAAATCTTTTGCATCTTATAAAAACAAAGAATGTCTTTACAAATCCTCTACTGTCTGCCAATATTCATCCCAACCAATTCCTTCTTGAGCCCAATCTTTTTTACCAGCAGGAAATAAAGCGTCCATTACCATTTGTGCAATTTTCAAATAAGGTAATTTATCTTGACCTTGTGCATTATCAAATTTATCCGCATAGATCAATGCTCTTATTGTCTTTGTTACATGTTCATCTGGATGTGTTAAACATTTATCAATGAGAGGTAACCATGGATTTGATGCGTCTATATACAAATGTTCTTTTGATACTGGATATTCATTGCATAAATAATTTAAATTTAATTTTGGTCGTCCACGTGCAACATAATAAAAAAGATCAACTGCAAATTTGGCTCTGATCAATTTCAATTGATTTTCTTTCTTTTTTAACGAATGAACCATTATATCTAAGAATAGACTACTTGTTGTTGAATGCATGAGAAAAAAGTCAAGGCGAGGTGCTTTCTTTGGTCGTATAGCAGCTGTATTAATTAAAATAGCCGCTCGTCTGGCATCATTTAAATCACATTTCCACATTCGAGCATATTCTACAATCAATGGAGCACCACCTCTTTGCAAAAATATACGCGTCTTCGGTCTAGCATCTGTATAAAAAACTTTTTCATCAAAACGAGAATCCTTGACAATCAATTCAATAATATCCAAGGCTGTTTTATCACCATCTTTGTTCGAATCATCATTGAAATGATTGACGATATCTTTGAGAATGGTTCGATCAACTGATGCCATAGCTAAACCTTCAATAGCCATTAGTTTCGATTGAAATTCTACAGCATATCCGAGATGAATAAATGGATGATAAGCACCAGCAAATATGAGACCAAGATAATCATGATTAAATACATAATCTTCAATTAAATCTTCAATATTTCCTTGATATTTTTCATTGTTCAATTCTTTTTTAAAAAATTCCAGATAATCATGATAGTAATTATCATCACCTAAACATTTTTGTACGTCGAAATCCTGTTCCTTGTGCAGTGGAGCTAACGGTAGTTGAATTTTCATCTGTTGTTCATAGATATGTTTCAATGTATTAGATGAAGCACCAAGACTTAAGGCAGTTAATAGATGATGTGCGGTATGATTGTGAAAACCACCTCGAAGATTGAAAAAGACATGGTTCTTTTCATGATTCTTTTGAAGAAGATCAGAGCAAGTTTCAATTGTTTCAGGAGTAATACCAGGTAAATGATAGACGTCGACATTTTTGACGAATGCATCAGATGGAAGAGTATACATACTTATTCTCGAGAAAAAAAATTCTTCTTTAAATAAATTGTTGCAAGTGTTTTAAGAAAGAAAAGAAGTCAAAGTATAGACTATATATATGTATGCATTGCATAAAAGACGGTCATATTATCGTCATGATGACAAGGCATATTTTATATCTTCTTCGTATTTCTTTTCCCTTTCTGTACTTGTTTTAAGTGTGTGTGTACTTTGTTGTTCGAACGCACACGCGACCATATGACTCATTTTGTATCTTTTCTTTGTTATATTCTCTTTCTCCGTCTACACGTCATGTCGTCAAATGAGATAGGATAGAAGAAATTTTTCCTTTCATATGATTCACAACGAATTCCATTTTTTTTTGCTGTACTTTTACATTTTGAGACCCCAATGCATATGATTGGTAACAGAACAAGAAAAAAAATTGATTGATCGAATTAATGTATCCAATCAGTCAAATATAATAAAAGATGACGCTTATGTGTGTTTGAAGTCTAAATAAAAACGATAACCCTTGAAAGAGAATACGCTAATAAATTGATTCTTTGATACAAAAATAAATAGTTTTTTGATTTCCTAAATAAACGAAATAGAAATTAGAAGAAAATTATAAAAGAGAAGACTATAAAAAGGATGGTTTCTAAGAAAATTTCATAAAAAAAACAAATTCTCTCAAATAATTCGCTATCATCAATACAAAATGGTTGACGACTTCAAAATTGAACATCTTGATACCCTCACCACGAGGAAAATTCATGAATTGACAACAACCGAGAGTGGCACTATAAAATCCCTACAAGATATAAAACTACTGCCTAAAGTTCCATTGACCGCTGACGAATGTCGCAATAAATGCAGCAATTGGAAGCTAGAGAAGCGGTCTATTGCAGCTGATGGTAAGAAAGACTTCTTTTCTTATAGACTGTTGCTTATTCTGATAATTGTAGGTTATGTTTTTCGTTGCGCTAAATGCCGAACAAGACGATCCATTAGAAATGGAACGTTCTTTCAGCACTTCCACCTTTCTCTGGCTCAGATTTTTGAACTAATGTACTACTGGTCACGACAAGAAGGTTCGATTGAAAAATTAATGCATGAGTTGGAAATCGGATCCCCAAATACTGTCGTCGACTGGAAGAACTCCTGTCGAGATGTCTGCGCTCAATATTTCATCAACAACCCCATGCGCATAGGTGGTTCTGGTCATATCGTCGAGATTGACGAGAGCTGCTTCGGCAAACGCAAGTACAATCGTGGTCGTATTATTCATGAGCAGCAGTGGGTCTTCGGCGGCATTGACCGTCAATCTCGACAATGCTTCATGGTCCCTGTTGATAAAAGAGACGCCCCAACATCATTGCCTATTATAGATCAATTCATCCTCCCGGGAACGACTGTTCTTTCGGACGGATGGCGTGCCTACGGTGCGCTTCGCAACAATCCTGATTTCGTCCATCAAACAGTTAATCATTCTGTTAACTTTGTAGACCCCATCACTGGCGTCCACACACAAAATATCGAGAACTCCTGGATGAGGGCAAAATGCAAACAAAAAAAACAATTTGGTCTTCAGCGCACTCTCTTTAACACCTATCTTCAAGAATTTATGTGGCGTCAGGTCGTTGCTGATAAGCCTCTAGAAAATCTTGTTCGGCAAATAGCTATTCTCTATCCTGTAGATTGACTTGTTGTTGTTTTTCTCAAATAAATTTTGCGCTTCTCCTTATCTTTTTTTTCGATAGAATCACTACAGAGACGTTGCGTTCTAGCGTCATCTTTTATTATATTTGACTGATTGGATACATTAATTCGATCAATCAATTTTTTTTCTCGTTCTGTTACCAATCATATGCATTGGGGTCTCAAAGTGTAAAAGCACCTTTTTTGCTAAGGTATGTAACACTCGGAAGTGCTTACATAGTATTTAAAGACAAAGTACTTTGCGACATTAGAATCAAATATAACAAGTATACGCTGAACATTTTAACATTCGACATTTTCGTAATACCGATGCTTTTGACGAAATGATAATGCTGATAGAGGGATGGGAATGAGAAATCAAAGGAAGAGAAGGAAAATAAAAGAAGAGAGAGAAGCTAAAACAAAAACAAAAACAAACAAAAAAAAGAAACAGAAAAAGAAAAAAGGAAAAAAAATATTAATAATAATAAAGAGGAGAAAAAGAAAGGAGAAAAAAATGAATAAAGAGAACTACTCTGCATAAAGAGAGACATGATAAAATGAAAAGAACAAAAGAAAAAGGAGTACCACATTTGCTCTAATCTGTTTCAACGAAATTCAGCCATTTCAAAAGGAACGACTCGTGTCGATCTACTAGTAATCGCACACGTCGCAAATGAAAAAGTTGGCCCACGTGATCATTTTTTCTTTTGTCAAATTCGCTCCACACGAATATATCATTATAAAAAAGTGAAGATCCAAGATCTGTTAAATGCATTGTTCTCAATCTCCTTTGGACGCACTTTTTAACATAGAATTCTAAGGGGAACTCTGAAGTTACAGTAAAAAGATTATGTGCGGGGACGAAAGGACAGCGATACACCAATCTAAGACCTATACGAAATTTCTGGTTCAGTATTTGTTTCTGCGATTCTGGTAACAGAGAATAGAAGGGAAATAACCATACAAAGTGAGGAAATGTATATGCGAAGAAGCGTTGACGAAGTACTTTAGATGACACAATTCTACCAGACATTAACCACTTCGGCTTACCTAAGGATCTTTGAATATTCGCGATGCTTTTATCGACAGTTGGTTTCAAGGATAATTTATTTGTCTAAATGAACCCTAAGTACTTGAATTCTTTAACTAACTCTATTTTTTCTCCATCCATTGTTACGTTTACTAGAGGTCTTTTTACTTGCGTATGAAATAATTGTGCCACCGTTTTACTCACATTTATTGGTTGCTTCCATTTCTTCGAGTATGCATATTTTTCATTACAGATTCGAGTACTTTCTTTCTCTATATATTGAGTCATTCGACATAGTTCCTTCAGAATAGGCGACTTAATTAAAACACTCAGATCGTCTGCGAAAAGATGACAAGAGTGCGCTCCTAAACAGTTTATTAAATCGCAGTGAAATACTATGAACAGGTATGAACTTAAACTACTACCTTGAGGAAGTTCTACATTTATATCGAACATTGTTGACGTTTTTTCACCAAACGCAACATAAGCCCTCCTATCTTTTAACCAGCTTTCGATTACTTTCAATAACTCGATCGGCATACCAAAACTCAATAATTTAACTAAGAGAGCTGCATGCCAGACACGATCATATGCCTTCTGATAGTCCACATAGATAGCGAGTGTTGGTATATTGGCTGCCATGTTGTTTCTAATCTCTTGATAGATTGATAGTACTCGAGTAGGAAGTAGACACGTTGGCCGAAATCCTGATTGCTCTATTGGAACTAATTGATTACTTTCTGCCCATTCTCTAACTCTTAGAAGCAAAACTTTTTCAAAGAGTTTTGAATGTGTTGCTAGCAAAGAGATTGGACGAGTTTGATCACACTTAGGAGCACCTGATTTCAGTTTGTTTAAGGTTACAATCTTTGCTACTTTCCACTCATCAGGATATCTACATTCATTCAACCAAATATTAAAGCATTTGGTTAGACATTCTATATAGCTTAGAGGCAGTTTTTTAATCATAAAATTTGACATTTGGTCAAAACCACTTGACTTTTTGGGGTTTTAATGTACGAATTCCATTTCATGGGACCCTTTCATACAATGAAAGACAAGTCATCCTTACGGTGTGCCGTCGTTAGGCCGAAAGGAAAAAGACAGAATGGATTAATATCGAACGGAAAAAAGTAGAAATAGTCGAAAGGAAAAATGTAGAAGAGAAAAATAACGAAAGAAAAATATTGAAAAGGAAAAACGTCAAAAATTTCATTGAAGAAGACATTCTTTATTTTTGACTAGATAACATAACAGCTTCGACTGCACCTAAGAGAAATGTAATGAAAATAATAAAGTGTCACTTTTCGTTTAGAAACTAACTGACAGACCATCTACATATTCGTTCACTGTATTAGTATGAATTTTTGTCAAAGAGTTATCAGATGTATACATGCTTATCAATCACAAGAGATTGGAGACGTCCAACTCCTACCAAACTTTGAAAATGCGTCTGACTTTTATCAAAATTCTGAAAATTTGCTGCTAAAGTTTTTGTATTTTCAAGATGAATCCACAAATAAATCTGATTTTTTTGAAGGTTTTTTCGCTGTTTTTCTGACTGAAAGTCTAATAAACACACGTTCTGGTGGTAAAATGTCGCAGAATATGCATGATGAAAGTATAGTGCATTTGGTATACGGCAGAGTCATATGATTGTATTTTCTATTCAAGTTTTTGAACTTTCCGCCAAAGTTTAGTCCCTCATACTTTTGAAAACAATCGCAAATCATGAATGTATGTATCTAATACTTTGTTGCTATTTTTTTCATTTGAAATATACCTTTATTTGATTCAACATAGATTTTCCTTTTTGCGACTAGATAAACGAAATGGTTGATGACGGTTAATTTTCAATTGCTAGGATGAACGATGCCATTCGAGAATTACGAATAAATTTCGAACTTGTTGAAATAGGATCAAAATAGTGCACTATACCTTCACTAAGAAAATCATCATGACCTGCATTTGAAACCGAGAAATGATAATAGGAAAGAAGAGTCATCTATGAACTGTAGAGTGTTTGACCGAATTGTTCAAGAAAAAAATGGAAACGACTGAAGAAACCCCATCCTTGTTGTTTAATAATAAATAATGGACGTTGGAGACAATCATCGATGATTCTACCATTCGATCTTTCATCGTTCATAATTTGTTTATCCAATAAATATGTACACATTTCATGTTCAGCTGCTTCATTCCAATGTGGATCACTGTAGGCATCAAGCCACAAAATCGGCGAAGATTATGACAAACGAAAATTGGCTTCAGAATAGTTCAATTTAATAGAAATTCT